CTTCTTCTTGGCATCTTCAATACCTTGAGAAAAGATCCGCGTCCTCTCCCTAATGTCCTTCTGAAGGTACTCAACCTGATGCAACAAATCCAGCCTCAAGTCCGTCATGTGCTTCACCACCACTCCCATAGCCTCGGCATCTCTCTGAGACCTCGCCTGCCTGATCCGTGCAAAACGAGCAGCAGCCTCGGCAGCACGAGTAGCCCCTTCAGCAGTTCGCGAAGTCGTCTTAGCAACGCGAAGAGCCTCTTCGGCAGCTCGCGCCTGCCTTGAGCTCCTCTCCACTTGGGCCGCCACGGCGTGAATAGAAGAGTTCACCTACCAAAAAGAATCGAGTGATCAAAAGAACCAACAAAACGAAAGCCAAAGAGCTCTAAAAAAGGGAGATCACTTACCACCATGGCATGTGTAACGGCACGACAGGCCACTTGATGCAGAGGGAGATCAGTCCACACCGCGACCTCCTCAGGGAAAATGGCCTCCTTACTCTTTTGAAGAGCATGGGTCGGCGACAGCACACTCCTGAAGTCCCCCGGGGCCCTCGAGCTTGAGGGCCCAGCTCGCGTATGAGCAGACYCGGAGTTAGCAGGAGCACTGGAGTATGTAGGAGCCCCTGTGTAAGTAGTCTCAGCATAAGGGACCCCTGCTGGCTCCTGCATTGGAGGAACCATCTCGAGGTCCCTGGGCAGTTCTTCTGATGGATAGTCCGACACCTCGGGCTCCGCATCCCGGGGCAGCTCGGTGCGAGTTCACTTGGCAACCTGCTTCCTCCTCTTCATGCCTTGGAACAAGTGCCCACCACGGGTCCCTCAAGAGTCCATCACACCTGCGAAAAGAAGTTCGCCATCGGTAAAAAACAAGAAAGGCAGCAAGACAGAATCTCTAAGTGAAGAACCTACCCGAGCTCAGGCCGGCCGCAATGAGCTTGGCCTCCGTCAGATACTATTGACACTTTAGCCCAAGCCGTGCCCATTGCCGGAGGCCCTTCGCCGTTTCTTTGTCAAGCGTGACCCCGGAGTCAAGAGCGGCCATCCCCCACCCGGTCTGAAACGGCCACCCCCGCACACTTTGCACCCCGAAATAGTCCCGCTTCCACGCCGGGACCTTGTTGGGGAGTTCATGTAAAAGCTTAAAGCCCGGGCGAGGAGACAGGTAATATGCCTGCCTACGCCCGGGGAGGGACCCGCTTGCTTCTTAAGCATTAAGATTGAAGAGAAGATCTCCAAGTCCAAAGGAAAGCTCTCTTCGCAAAATAAGGAGATTGTCCCCACCAAATTTCGAATGGAGTTCGGGTGAAGCTGGCCGACCGTCACGCCAAAGTGGTTCAAGACCTCGACAAGGAGGGGATGGAAAGGCAATCGCAGCCCCGCAGCGAGCTGCTCCCGGAATATCACGATCTCATAAGGACCGAGTTCCCAAGGAAAGCTACCCGAAGGTATGAAATAAGCGTACTCCCCGGGCAAGTTATAGTAGGTAATAAGGGATTGGAGCCCCTCAGGCGTCATGGTCGAAGGGGCAAACTTGTCTAACATCTGACCCCGACGAGAGGTGGACGCCAAACTACCCGAAGCGCCTCGGCCTACGAGTTCGAACTCTTCCTCGAGCTCTACCTCTGGCTCGCTAGAGCTATCAGGGGATGCAACTTGGTTCGTAGAACCTGCATCAGACCCACTGGAAGGACTATCTGAGCTATCCAAGCTAGACATCAGGGAGTAAGATGGATTCCAGGAAAGTACTCACCCGGAAAAAAGCTGTAGACCACGGGAGCTCGGACGAGCAAAAAACCTTGAACGCAAACTGAAAAAACCTGGACGCAAACTGAAAAAACCTGGATGCGAGCTGAAACTCGGATGCGAGCTCGAGAGATACAGAAGTGACAGCGACTGGGGTCCCCCCCCCCTGCTATTTATACTCATAGTGATCGAAAAGCGACAGCTTAGATCAAAGCCAATCCGACGGCCCACCGTCGCACTGACCGCACGTACCTTGAGACCGAGACGTGATTGGCGCACGTCTTTCTGAAATTGACAGAGTGCCGGCGCACGTCTTTTCGAAACTAACGGAACGCCAGCACACGTCTCCTCACAATAAAAGCGGCAGCGGCACGTTTTCAAATTTGAAAAGACGCCTGTTGTCGCGTCTCCCAAGTGGCGGGCTTTTTGAAATTTCGAAATAAAGGGCACGCCGTCGCATCTATTAGTGTTCAGGCAGGTCGACACGTTTCCTGCCTTTTGGGCGCTCGAAGAAACCCAAGGAACCCTGACAACGCACCTCGCGCCATCAGAACCACGATTCAAAGTACAGGGCAAATCCACCTGACACCTTGCAAACTCCCCGCGCCAGGGAAAGACCCATAGCACGAGGAGTGGGGGGCAATTGATGAAGGAAGATTTGGCCCGACCTCGCAATCACTCCATATGGCAAAAGCAAATAGCTCGGCACTTAAAACAGCGTAACCAGGGCGCAAGCACCAAAGGGAAGAAACCAGCAGTTCGAACTCCCTTCGAGGAGCCTGAACTCCCTACGAGGAGCCCGACCTCCCTACGAGGAGCCCGAACTCTCCCTTAGGCCCCGAGCCACACAAGGAAGTGACCCGAACTGGCCCGCCTCATGGCAGTTCGGGACACTCCCCTATCTGAACTCAAGACTTCACCTCGTTCGCCACTCCAGCACTTCACCTTCGAGACGCCGAACTGAACAAACGTACCATACCTGACACCGAGGAGGTCCGTATCCAAGGGGCGGCGCATCTGACTGACTTGGGATCTGACGCTTGACAGCCACACTTCAACGGTCACCTACCACCGTCATCGCCAGTCGCAGAGACGAGTCCGACAAAAGGGAGCAGTGGCGGTTCTGACCAGCAGAGGGGATGACACCTGAACTGCTAGGAGATCAGAAGTAATCGTACCCGACCTGACAAAAGCTTAGGAGTGAGTGCACGAGGTGGCTATAAAAGGCCCCCTACCCCCAAGAACAAGGTATGCAAATTTTGCGCTATCTGGTTTTATCTTGCCTTTGAAGGATTCTAACTTGAGCTTCGGAGCCTCCACACAGGGTTCCCCCCGAAGCTTCCTCATCTTCTCCGTTTCAGGTTCCCTATGATTCCGTTCAGAGGCAAGGTCATTGACAGGTAAGACCGGCCGGATTGCGCACCATCACATATCATCTTCAACATTCAATCCCAATGTTCATAACCCATAGACTATTCTTATCCTATCGGCGCTTATACATATGAAGCATAAAAAATCAAAATATTAAATATTTGGCTTAAGTTTCATGCCAGTCATAAAATTTAAATCTGAATACCATATATCGTGCATGGTTAACACTTACATGGTGTTTGAAAGCGTGGGTGCTTTTTGGGATTGATTTTCAAGAAAAAATATCCATGTTTTCAAGACCTGTTTTTCACAAAAAAACATTTCTGCCACATAAGTAGTGAGTAACATTATGCAATTTGGTAAGATGATTTTCATCATCATTTTTCATGTATGTGCTGATAGGTAAGCACCACATAGGATACACATCAATCAACCGTTGGGGGGGAATTGTTCACTGATGCATAAAATGGCGTTTTATGCATTGGTGGGACCCACTTTTCGAGACATGTCTGATTTTTTAATAATCGGCTGAACCAAACAATGAGATACATGGACATTTGTTGAAATGCCTATGTGGATCTGATGTGGCACCATTTTTTGATAAACGGCCAAAGTTCCAAACATCCCCTTAATTGCATAAAAAGGTAAGAGATAGACAAGAGTTTAACCGAAGAAAGGAAAATGGAAGGATTGGAGAAGGAATACAGTAATATCCGATTATCGAGATTCAAAGTTCACATCTGCAACCCACAAGGGGGGCTCCCCACAATGTCCCACAACACATCCTGCCGTGTATTGGAAACATCTCCCGATGATGATATCATCGATTCTAGTACTATCATTGGAAGATGTTCCTAATACATGGCGGGGATATGACGTGGGACGTTGTGGGGCGCAGATCTGAACTCCCAGCGATCCATTTATAGATTCTCTTAATTGGTTTGAATGTTGTATTGTAACTAAACAATTTTATTAATAATATATAATATTTTGATCATTTTTAGCCTAATTTATTTATAAAATTTAAAATCATTTTCTGGTATGATCGGATTCGAATTCAAATATAAACAATGAAATTTAAATCTATATTCGATCCGATCCGTTTGCAGCTCCGAAGGAAATTACGAATTTTGAGACAGCATATAGAAATCCACGTGGCATCCTTGTGTCTGTTCTTTCTCTCCCAAAGACCAAAAAAAGGTACCGGGACCCAACTCCCACTTTCGGACAGCGCGCGTGGTTTTGGCCCGTTAAATAGTCCACCGGGTCCGAACTCCGAACACCCCACTAATGTGTTTCATGTGTCACCATAGACATATTTTATTTATTTTTAAAAAGCTGCAAACTGCCACAAATAATATTTAAAAAACAATAAACCACGAAAATTATCCGGTGCTTCTCTTCCAGGATTTGATTCCTTCCATCACAGATTTGAACCGCTCATCTGATTCCTACTCTTGATCCTCCACGTTCCTCAAGAAACCGACGCCTATGTCGTTTAGACATGCCACATGTTCATTGACGTGGATAGGCTTTATAACGCCACATCATCAATGATCGAAAACTCAATCTGAGATCATATCAGCGCCCGATAGAGCGCGCCCCACATTCACATCTCAGCGTGTATGGAGAACATCTTCCGTACTTTTTATTGGGATATGTTCCTAATACACGGTTCGGATGTGTTGAAGGCATTGTGGGGCGCCGATGTGAAGTCACTGAATCTTGGTTTAGTTAAATCCGTGTATTGAGATGGATTTGACAACTTGTACGGCTAGCATTTTCGAAAAAAAATTATGAGGAAATAAATATAAAAAAAAAGGAGAAAAGCGGCATCCGGTTTCTGGTTTCTGGGTTCTGGGTTCTGGGATTTCACACTAACGCGGGTGAAAAAAGCAACAAATGACTGGCTGTCTGGTGGATGGCTGGTTTTTATTCCTCTACTCGATTTTGTGGAGAGGAGAGAACGCCTGTCCTCTCCCTCTCTCTCTCTCTCTCTCTCTCTCTGCCACTCTCTCTTCTTTGCTTTTGTTACCGTATATGCTTGTATCGACGCCGACGCCGGAATCCGAGGTTTTTCGATGAGAAGTAGCTTAATAATGGTGGTTTTGGAGGGAATGCTCGTTAGGCTTTGGTGATGGTTGTTGTCCGATGGCTTATGATACCGGAATTCAGATGTCCAGGGCGGCCGTGACTGAAGAATCTTCTCTCTCCCCTTCTTTGGATGAAGGTAAGGGTTTCTATCTCTTTTGTAGCTACGAGTTTTCTATTGTCACTGCATGTGATCGTCGGGTTTTTGTTAGGGTTTGTTTTGCATTGTAGCGAGGTGATTGGTTGATTTACTTTTAGTTTGTTTTGGAGAGTTTGGATGGAGAAATGTGATTCAGTTCTTAGAGTGATTTCTGTGTTGCCTACACTGAATTTGGTTTGGTTGCTTCGACTTTATCTTTAATCTTTAATCTTGTGGTCGAGGTAAACTTGGTGTTTTTCTCTTTTTCATTCTGTGAAATTGAAGCCAATTGGAGGTAATTATGAATACACTTCATGGTGTGATGGGATTCCTCTCTGGGTGGACTCGAGTTTATCAACTTCATCTAACATTGGGCTTGTTTTAACCTTTTGTTTTCTGTTGGATTTTATTCTGAATTCTTTTTCTCTGTATTATTATCACTTTACTACGAATTTCACCACAGAGGGTCTTATTTGTTGCATTGCGGTGGAACTCCTGTTTCCTGCGTAAGAAGTCTTCAATCTGACTTGGGAATTCCACTTTCGTATTGTACATACAGTCTGATTGATTTCCATACTGTTTACATCAAGTACTTTTGTTTTTACAAAAAAAAAAGGTTCATTTTTAATTGAATTTATTCATGGGCATTGGAAAGAAATGAGGTTCTCTTTTTCTGCATGCAATGGATTTGCAAAATAATTCATTTCTAGATGCATTAGACATTGCATCCATTTTCTAAGACTATTTATTTCTTTTTTATTTTTTACTTGCTTTTTTGATTGGTAGATGATTAAAAAATTTTTCTCGAAGGTGAATAATGACAGAATATACGTACAAAGATAAAAAGTATAGAATCTGAAAGAAAAGATGAGAACTAGCCCCAGCCTACTACTATCTCAAAACATTATGAAGTACCATTTTAAACACAAACTGACCCTAAACTTGGAGGGCCAGGCCCCCTTTAGGAGACCTGTGTAGTAGCCACTCCCCTAGGTAGTGAATCTACACAAGGTTCAAAGCATCAATACAATACAGCCCATATCTTTGGCTCATTGATATGCAAAATGCAAATAGTTTGATGATTTTAATATTTTTACATGAAAATAGATGATGTGTCAAGTTCCCCTGTCAATTTGTTAGACAAAAAATAGTTTTAATCAAATGATACTCTTAGTACACAAATTTTGCATATCGAGGGTATTGGTACTTTGAACCATCAATCTACCAATAATTTAGCTGATGTTTGTACCCAGCTAAACAAGAGGTTCATAGAAGTAGCAAAAGATCTATCATCCCTTATACATTTTTCTAACTACCAAGGCTCTTGTTTTTTTTCCTCATTCTTTTATGTTGAGTTCCAATTTAGTTCTCTTGTCTCCGTTTTCTTTCATCTTGGATTTTCTGCTTTACTCATTAGGAAACGTAACATAGGCACGATTGGGTTAGACACTCCAAATTACCAATGTAATAGGGATTTCTTCACTTCCTTGCAAAGTCTACAATTTTTTAGTGTTGTATATGTTGTAATTAATGCAATCAATTTTTTTTTTATCATATTATCTTATAGTATTCTTATAATCTATACAGGTTTTATTTGACACATTTTATTTTTTAGATCTGTCTCTTCCCATATTTTTACTTATTGTAAGAGGATTGGATAAGGTTAGTCCGTAGGTCTTGAAAGTTGGGTTCAGATGCCAAAGAAGATATATCAGTGGAAAGGATCGTAGGGAATCAGGTGAAGTAAGAGAATGTCTCTGGAAGGTCCCCTTCAAGGGGACCAAATCCCTTATTTATAGGGAAATCTGGCCATGCATACATGCATAGCCCCTCAATATTCTAGAGTGTTCTAAAGGAGTTATTAGTCACAGTTGCAGATCCTAGGTCACCTTGGGTGAAGACGCTTGTCTGGAGGGGACTTGGTACCAATCTACATGATTTTCCTTGTCTCTTACATGGTCCCACCTTGTGGCATGATCTGAGCTACAATATCATTTGCACACAAAGTACTATTTTGTCTAGACATGAGAATCACGACACTTGATCCCGGCGAATCCTTGCAGGATTCGATACATCAAAGGTTTGACAAGTGTTGCTTGATTGGATTTTGGCGAATCCCTCTGTGGGGATTCAATAGCTCACAGACTTGGTGAACATTGCAAGTCTTTGAAGCTGAGTGCTGAGGAGTTGCAGCACTTTGATGCGATGTGCCAATGCCGTGGCAATAAGTACATCCATTCTCTTATACTTATTAAACTAATATTTTCTAATGACGTATACTTGACTGTTATCACTGAATGCATTTTTTCAAGGTACTTTTCCTTGCATTTTAGGCGATTGTAGCTCTTAGTAGTGGAAAGTTGTGATACATGCACCTATGTCCTGATAGAATAATGCTATACATTTTTTTTCTTATATTGTTTTCAAGCCTGAGTTACTAGCCTAAAATGAAAGAAATAGGAATGACAACAGAAGGAATTCAAAGTCTTGGAACTGTATACATTAAAATGCGGTTTTCCTTATATTATCATTGTTTTATCTCCTTACAAGTGCATGTGACAATCTTTACATGCATGGTTATTGATGTTTCTTCTACTTATGAGAAACTTACTTATTACTGTCTTAACAGATACATTGTGGCAGATGAACTTGAGACCAAGTGAAACTATGGAATCTGGACCGTACCCTGAGCGCCCTGGAGAGCTAGACTGTGCTTATTACGTTAGGACTGGTCTATGCAGATTTGGAATGACATGCCGTTTTAATCATCCTCCTAATAGGAAGTTGGTAAATACAATCATTTTAGTCAATGTTTTGGAGTGTGATTTTATTAATCACGTGAACTTAAGAATGTATTGGTAACACGGTCATTGTACAGTATCAATTAAGATTGTTTCTGATCACAGTGTACTTGCACAGCTAGGTACTCAGTTATGTGCTTTTTTTGCTTTTGATAAATGGTGTAAATGGTATTGCTAGCTTCTCCCTTAGACAAGTGGCATCTTATTTTCTCAAGAAAGAGCATCTCAAAAGTGGTTATTCTCACTTGCAAACAAAAGCTTCCTTCCTTAGACATGTGTCTACCCACTCAAATGGTATTTACCTCCACCCTCAAAAAAGTTGGTGGTAGTTAACTCCACCAAATAGAAAAAAAAAGAACTCATTTCAAATGATTTAGGATTCATTAAGTGGGGTGTTATTTATAAAAGTTGATTTAATCTCGTAAATTAAATAACAAATCTATATATTAAAAATCAAATAAAATAATAACCTAAATTTGCAACATAGAAATTGGGTGTCAAACAAAATTGATTAGAATACATAAATAAAAAAATTAGAATATTGGCTTCATATTTAGTATCGGGGATCATTCTCTAGTTACTATGCATAAAAAAGAACCTTAGAAAATACTATGAATGTAATTGATAAAAAAAAAATACTATGAATGCTTAGTAAGATGAGAACTCAATAATGTGGTCCCCACTATGTTATTTATGTGGTCCCTATTGTTGTTTGTTTATTTATGATGGTAGTTATTATTTCTTTTTGCCATGTAAGCAGTAGGGGTAATTCAGCCCTTTTACCCTCTATTTGATTATTAATATAAATAGTTAAGTGGGGCGACAATTCTAGTTGACCACACTCTTTTTGAATTCTCCTCTTCGTGTTCTCCTTCTCTTCTTCTCTCCTTCTTCTTCTCTCTTTCTCAATCTGTTTTTTCTTTGTTTATTACACATTATACCTAGGACTGATTGCAGTCCTACTCGACTACTTGGTATCAGAGCCAACCTAGGAATTCTCATGCTAGTCTAATCAGGCCGACTATATGAGAACTTCCTAGGGTTGGAACTTTCAGCAGAGATAAGTTCATCGACTGGTTCTTGGAGGTTGCTGGTAATGTGCAGTTGATGCCCAAGGGTTCGTAGGGCCTTGGAGAGTGTTCAGCGATCAGGAAGATTCAGAAGAAGGGAAGAAATCTCAGTTTTAGGGTTCGGACCTTGGTTTGGAGGTGGTGGCTAGACCTTTCTGAGTAAGTTGATATTTGTTATTGAGATTGAACCTAAAAAGAAATCTTTTTTATTAATTTGGGAGGTGCGGCTGAAAGATCTTTAGTTCTCTCCTGAGTTTTAGGGTTTCTTTCTTGACCTACGATCAGTTCTAGAATTGAAACCCTAAAGTTTATGATTGTCGCCAATTCTGGGGCAATAATTAGACCAGTTTCAGCATTCAAGATCGAGTTTTTTGCTTTCTAGAAGACTAACAAACCTGATTCAATATTTCTGGGTGGTGGCCTAACCTTCTAGGTCAGTTGTTAAGCAAATTCTGGGTGCAATTTCACCTATTTCAGTACTAAAAAGAGTTTTTTTTTTGACCTATATCTTGAGAAGTGCTGACAATAATGGAGTTTAGGAATCAAGGGGAAGGTTTTTTGGGGGCTTGTGGTTCTAGTAGCATGTTTGAGAACAATTTTCATATTACCACTATCAAGTTTGATGGATCAAATTACTTGGAGTGGGCCCAATCAGCCATGATGACCATTGGGGGTAGAGGGAAACTGAATTATTTGTTGGGGGATGTGAAAGAACCAACTAAGGAGGACCCAACCTATGCCAAATGGGTTTAGGAGTTATGACATGGTTGTGGAATTCCATGCAGCCTCACATTAGCTGAAACTACTTGTGGGCAAAAATAGCTAAAGAAATTTGGGACATCATGAAAGAAACCCATTCTCAACCCCTTAAGCAAGGAGAGAAACCAATATGAGTTTACTTCTCAACCTTAAAATCCTTGTGGCATGAAATTGACCACCTAGAAACAATTGAGTGGGAAAGTCAGAAGGATGTGCAGACTTACAGAAAGCAAGTTGAAACTAAATGGGTGTTTGAATTCCCAGATGGTCTGAATTCTGATTATGGTATTGTGAGACAACTTCTCACGAAAGAAAGTGTGACCTTATCACAAGCCTACTCCTTAGTGCACAACGAAGAGAATAGGAGAAAGGTTATGTTGTAGCATCAACCTTTTGAATCAGCCTTGGCAACAGTCAAACCGAAGTTTGGGGTGATAAGGAAAGGGATATGAAGAAGGACGATAAGAAGGACCTAGTATGTGAACATTGCAAGAAACCTAAACATACTAAAGACACCTGTTGGAAGTTACATCCACATCTAGTTCCAGTAAAACTTAGAAACAAAAGGGTAAATGCCAATGTGGCTGTTACTACTGATTGTGCAGCCTCATCGGGCACAAGAGTTACATCCCTAGACACCTTAGCTGCTGTCCGGGCTGTTTTGACTCAGTTGGAGAGTGAAGTTGGTAATTCAACACCATTATCTCAGCCATCATTCACAACATCTGCTACTTCTACCTTAGCATTTGCTCATTCAGGCACACAGGCCTCAACTTATCATGCCTCAGCCCCAAGTAACAATGAACCTTGTTGGGTGATAGATTCAGGTGCATCCGATCATATGACTGGCTTGTCCTCATTGTTTACTACTGATCACTTATCCTCTGGCAGAGACAAAGTGTCTATTGTCGATGGCTCTTTTGTTCCCATTTCTAGCAAGGGAGACATCAAATTGTCTAATGCCATTTCTTTGTCTTCAATTTTACATGTTTCTAAACTTAGTACTAATTTGCTTTCAGTTAGTAGCATCACTAAAACCCAAAAATTGTTCAATAACTTTTTTTCTTGATCGATGTGTTTTTCAGGATTTGGAGACAAGGAAGGTGGTTGGGATTGGCCGTGAGACGAATGGAATCTACCTGCTTGGAGGGAGCTCACATGGGGAAGATAGTGAAGTTGGGAGGTCTTTTGTTTCTTAGTCTGTTAGTTAGGTTATGGTTTGGCATAACCGGTTAGGTTATTTATCTTTTAGGTCATTGAAAAGCTTGTTTCCTAGTTTTTTTGAGTCTGTCTAGATGTCCAATTTGAAATGTGAAAGTTGTGAGTTTGCAATGCATTGTAGAACAACTTATTCCTTGAGTAATAAAAGTAGTATTCCTTTTGAAAGGACCTTATCATATCACTGCCATGGGTGAGGGGGGGTACTAATATTTCTTGTTGTTTGTTGATGATTATACTTATTTTTCATGGGTTTACCTTATGCGTTCTCGAGATGAGGTTCCTACCCTAACCCAGATCTTTCTTCAGATGATTTTAACCCTATTTGGGATCAAAATCAAAATTTTCAAATCTGATAATGCGAAAGACTATTTTGCAAAACCATTAGCCTCATATGTCCTTGTCCATGGGATTATCCATCAGAGTACCTGTCCTCATACACCTCAGCAAAATGGGGTTGTTGAGAGGAAGAATAAACACATATTAGAGGTGGATAGGAGCATTATGTTTAACTCCAATGTGCCTATACGTTTCTGGGGAGATGCCATTCATACAACTGTATATCTCATCAATTGAATTCCTTCACGGGTTCTAGACATGAAAGCTCCATTCTCCCTTTTATATTCTGATAAAGAGTTGTTCACCATTCCCCTTAAAATCTTTGGATGTACTTGCTTTGTTTAGACTCTTGGACCTCATTGTTCCAAATTTGATCCTAAAGCTTCAAAATGCATTTTCCTTGGTTATGCACACACTCAAAAGGGATATTGCTAGATGTCACTTTCTTTGAGGATGTACCCTAGTATCCTAGGGTTTCTTCTTAGGGGGAGAGTAGTGAGGTGGGGGTTCATTCATCAGAAAGTCCATTACTTGTCCCAATCACTGAAGGGGAGTGTAGTGAGGAGGGTTGGTTGTCAGAGGTGCTGGGATTTGAGAGTTTATCACAGACGGTGGAGGCAGGTTGATTTCGGTCATCAACAGTCCAGGCCAACCCCAATTCCTTATGCGGATCCAGATGCAGGTACCATAGTTCCTTCATCTTCCACTACAAATGAGATACCTTCTATTGTTGAGCATTCACCTCCTTCACCTCTATTGGATGACCTTGACCTTCCCATTGTAGTCCGTAATGGCAAATGCTGTTGTACCTCATCTACAACTCACTGTATTTCCCAGTTCTTGTCTTATGATCATTTGTCGCCATCTTACAAGTCCTTTTTGGCATCCATTGCTGCTATTCCCATTCTCAGAGCAGTGTAGGAAGCCTTGTCAGTACCTGAGTGGAAGGATGCAATGAAGGTAGAAATGGATGCCCTTCTGAAGAACAATACATGGGAGTTAGTTGATCAACCTAAAGGGAAGAAACTGGTTGGATGTAGATGGGTGTTTACTGTGAAGCATAATGCTGATGGTTCCATTGAAAGGTATAAGGCCAGATTAGTTGCGAAGGGGTTTACTCAACATAGACTACTTGGAGACTTTTGCACCAATAGCAAAGATGAACACTATCAGAGTTTTGTCTCTTGCAGCCAGTTACTCATGGCCTTTGTTTCAAATGGATGTTAAAAATTGCCTTCCTCAATGGAGACTTGCAGAAAGAAGTTTACATGCAGTTGCCTCTTGGATTTTATAGTGCAAAAATAAGAAAGAAGGTTTGTCGGCTAAATAAGGCCATATATGGGCTGAAACGGCCTCTTGGAGCTTGGTTTGATAGATTCGGACAAGCTCTTGAAAAATTTCGCTATGTGCAGGCCCAGTCAGATCACATTGTTTATTAAGAAAGTGGATTCTTCCTTAACATTGCTTGCTGTATATGTGGATGATATTGTAGTGACAAGGACTGATACCCATGAGATTAAGTCTCTTAAGCAACTCCTTCACTAAGAGTTTGAGGTCAAAGACCTGGGAGAGCTTCGATATTTCTTGAGTATTGGGGTAG